TTAGTTTAATCCATGTGTTATATTTTTTGGGGTGAATGTTAATTTGAATTGGTTGAAATGTATTTGCTGTTAGGGGTTTGATAAATATTAACAAGTAAGGATTCATGTAGGAAATGAGTTATTGAGAGAGGTTCATAGTCACTTGATTGGTTGATCGGAGTGTAAAGTTTGAATGCTTGACGAAAGAAATAATATCGATTTCAATTTCAGATTCACACCATATTAACTGGTTGTTGTTGTTGTTATCAGATCGTGGTAATTGCGTTATCGTACCCTATATCAGTATCATCAATCAACATTATTTGCAATATACATCTATTTGATTTACGTCATCTCGAATTGCTTTTGTTGCTGTTTTCTTCATTATTATTATTACTGTTATCATTCTGGATCATTCATCTCCCTCCACTCACCGATCTACATCGCATCGCATCACAGCCACCCAATTCAATATTAACTGTTTTACTGGATAGCTTATTTTTACAGTTATTTCTATTGCTTGATCACAATTAGCTGAATCAGTCAGTTTGAAGGTGATGTCTGCTAACAAGTGATCTGTGCTGTCATGAAATCATTCTTGATATTATTGCTATTACTATCACCGTCGTCGTTATGACGATGCACCATATATATTTGTTCTTTCAGTTCAATTATTGTTGATCGTTTCTTATTGCCACTATCAGCAGATTGCAATAGTTGGAAATTTATTTGTTATTGTTCATTTCGTGATCGACTGTTTTATTTATTATCTACACATGTGCACTTTTCAAATGGTTTTCTCGGCACTTCGATGTATCTGCTCGAATGATGAGCATCACTCATTCATTCATCATAACGATCATCAGCGTATTCATTCGTCGGATCGTTTCAACACTGTATTNNACACTCGCGAATTTTTTTGGTACGTTTGAAGTTTTTTTGAGTTTTGATTTCATTGAGTTGTGCTTGAAATTGAGCTAGCCGATTCTCATGTATGCGGTCATTTCGTTATTTCGTTTTGTAAAAAGAGCTGAGTTCTAACTGGATTGTTTATTTTAATATTATGTCAGTTAAATTTAATTTTAACTGATTGTTTGTTCATTTCGTGATTATTGAAAAATTTTTTGAATGCTTAAAAATGGTAGTATCGGATACATGAAGACGAGTAGCTGAGATCTTTTTCAAGCACAATCTATTTTTCAAGCTTATTTGTTTATTTGCACTATGGTATTGAAATATAATTGATATTTCATGTAACTTATATTATTTTAACATTATATTATATTTTATAATATTATCATTGAGATGATATTGCAATAATACTATTAATAGCGTGAGTATAGTAGTAAGTATGATGAGTTTAAAATTCTTCTTCAGGTCAACTCGAGCTTCATAAGGTAAGTAGTGTAAATGTAAAGCAAATAAACAAACAAAANGAGTTTAAAATTCTTCTTCAGGTCAACTCGAGCTTCATAAGGTAAGTAGTGTAAATGTAAAGCAAATAAACAAACAAAACAAATCTATAAAATGATTGGCACAAACGTTCAAACGAAAATATATCCTTATATATATCTATCTATCTGTGTATTATGAAACTGAGAAGAGGAACAATAATAATTGATTTATGGATCGCAATTCATTCATTATATCGCATTGAATCTTAATCGATTGATTATTCTTTATGATTGATCGAACTTATAAAGTTGAATTCTGCTCTTTAATCTTTCATATGATACTGTTTTCGGTTGCGGTTGGTACATTTCGGAATGCGATTAGCGGGTGAGGAGGGTTAGAGAGGGTAGAATTCGATTCTGTAGATTGTATTTGGAATTTTTCGGATAATTCAATTTTGAGGGTTTATTATTTTGGTTGTTGACTGGGTGCAGTGGCTGAGTTGGCGAGGATTTTGTGAAAATTATCGGAACGTAAATAATGAGAAATGAGATGGTGAAATACGAACACATATAAAAGATATCATTGTGAAACGAATCGAAATATTTTCAGTGTAATAGCGGAAATTTAATCTGAGACAGTTAAACTGAATTATAGAAATATGATACTAATCAAAACTGTTCAATTAGAATAAGTTGAATAGCGATTTATAGTCGAGTCAGTAATCGCATTATTATATCATAAATCTATCAATAATAATAATTCGGACCATCCGCACCAATAAATAAAATTAATCTTTTTTAATTGTTATGTTTATTCATCTGATCATTATAAATCTTTAAAACATTATGGCTCGAGTTTAATCATAAAAAATTTGTGATGTTGTATTTTAATTCAGTTTTAGTTAATAAATATAAAGTTAATATCGTGTTTAATTTCTTATAAACATCTTCATTATAACTGAACACTTATCATTTATATTCCATATATAAACAGAATGATAAGTTTAATAATGTTCCCAACTAATAATAATAATATATCAAACGCAATTTTAGTGACTCTAATA